GCACCCAATAAGCCCTTTGTTATATCTAGGAAGTAGGCTACAGCCTATCTTCTGAGTACTATTTGTGGCTTTTCCAGTAAAGATAATGATCGGCTCTTCCCTGATAGAGGGATTTATAGTATGGAATTGAAGAGTACTTCTAAGCAGGYAATGTAATAGTACTGCTTCTGAAAGTGGCTAACCCATGTTACACTAGCAGATCGCACCCTTGACAGACAGTAATGCTGAGGGTAATGGAACACACTCCGGGGCTTTTTGTGGATCCTCTCCACTAAAATCTGAAAACACTTTGTTAATTGCCTTCCTTAGTAATTCTGGGAAAGTTATTTAAGCAACACTGTGAGCATGTGGAGAAAGAAAACATCTGTGTGTTCACTGGCAAAACTATTTTAGTGGAATGTAATTATAAGACAGGTCATTCTTACCTTAAAAACATTTTAGAATTCCCTCTATTTGAATATTCATGTATAAATGCCAAATCCTCAATTTATTTTCAAAGCAGCTTCTGTGATACAACAGAACAGTTCAATTCTTCTTTTAAGTATGAATGACATTAAAGTTTAGATTGGAAACCTAATTTTCAGACAGCTTATGTCAGAAAGGTGAGATTCACCCTTTACTTCTTCATTTGTTTCAGCCTCTTCATTTTTGGCACTTTTTGAGACTATTCAGAATTAGAAAATTGAGGCAAGAATATTCACAGCACTGTATAATGAATAGCTGTTCCCATGGAGCACAAAATCTTTACGTGTCTCTTTAAGTGTCCCAGGGGAAACACTCCAGTGCAGATTTGACCAGTGAYAACACTTGTTTTTACTTCATGAAACACTGGATCTAAAATCCAAGTCTTTTTTTGCTAAGTCTGCCAACACAGTTCTCTTAATAAGTATATCGCCAATCACTTTCATAATCACTGATCCATAAGGAGCTTTGCTGCTTTGTTGGAAACATTAAAACTGTATTAATYTCAGAGTTAGCAACAAATGGGTTTTTCTTCAGCAGGTCTTAGAAATGTCTTAGAAATGAAACAAGATTCCTTTACTTTGAATTTGATTTTGCTATGGTTTTTTTTGTTTTGTTTTTGCTTGAAACCAACCAAACAGCACAATTTCTAGCCCAATAAATGGACTTCCATGAAGAAGTCTCAATTCAATCTGTGCTGGCCAAAAGGATGTACCAAAATAACTGAGTTCCAAAGGTTCACCAGTGCTGCATTACCTTACAAGAGGCAACATGTGCATGACAAAGGAAATAAGTCTTATTTACTAATATGTGGCCAATTCTTGTCAACTACAGGAAAAACTATGGCAGGCCTTACCAGTGTGGCTTCGTTTGTGAACCATGAGCACATTGGGACCGATGCAAATTATCCCACAGATATCACATTTTAGCTTTCCATTAGGAAGTCGAATGCCTCCAACTCCTGACAAAGCCTTGCTGCCTGGGCCATTGTGAGAGCCATTCATTTTTTCTCCTGCAGCATCAAGCATTCGTAAATCCTCTGCACATTCTTCCCCATTCATTTCACAGGCACGCCCATTCTCTTCATCACTCTGAGTCTCTATTTTAATATTACCGGCTGAAAAAAACAATACAGGATGCCACTCAGTTTGGTTACAGAGCAAATCATGTGGCAAAGAAACAATCACATGAAAAGAGTTAACTTTTAAACAGCAGGTACAGTATAAATAACAAATGCTATGAACTCAACTACAATTCTATGGGCAATGCAATGAGTTTGTAACACATGGAGCAATGAGCAGTGAGTATCAGTAAAACAAATATAATCATTTTTCAGCTGGGAACCCAAACAATATTAAAAGTCTGTTTCTGGGTGCCTTGGAGATTTTTGTGTTTATAGTTTCCATTTTGACAATCAGGCTAATTGGAATGAAACTTAAAATGAATTCACTTCATAGGGATTGGTCCAAAACAATTGTGAAAGCAAGTAACCCAACGCAATGGATAAAAATAAAAAGAAAATGCAACATTTTCCACTTGTCAGGAAGATCCCGAGGGCTGTACTAAATTGAATATTTGGTTTGAAGTTCTGTGGGGTAGGCAAAGACAATGAGAAAGCAAAGGGTATAAAACTGATAAAGAAACCAAGGTAGGGAAGGATGGAAGGAAGAATTTAAGGAAATKATAGGACTCATAGTTGTGTTTCTAGAACAGCAGGATTAGGATTGCTGAGTAATAGGAGAAAATTTCTGGAGTGAGGAGATCCAATTAAAAAACAGTCAAATATGAAAAGGTGCCTGGGAAAACTGTTATGACTTTTTAGGATAAATCTTTTTGTTGTAATCCCATAGGTGACAACTGCTTGCAAACAGAAGAAGAATTGAGGTGTAAATTTGCCATTGCCTCATAACGTGAGTTAACAGAGGGGCTAGTAAATTTGATCTGGTATGAACACAGCAAACTTTAACATTAAGAAAAAGGACCAAGATCCAGACCAGTTCACGCCAGTATTCATTCCTCTTCTCTCCACAGGACTGTATGATGTTTTATGTAGAAAAGAAGAATCTTTGCTGTTATTTCCCTCTTTTCTAATCTGGTGATTTTAGTGAAAAAATACTTCATTAGGCTGAAAAAGACCATTTATTTGCCAAAAATCTTATTTTCCATACAGTAAAACCCCCTCTACCTTCACCCCACCACACCCAAAAAWAAAGAATTTACTTCAATGGGTAGCTAAAAATATGAGAGATCTGTTTCATCCAATAAAGTCCAGGTCTTTTTCTTCTGTGGAACAGTTTCATGGTATCCTCATTCAAAAGTGATGGTGTAGCAATGTGATAACAAAAAGCTACRGACAATAATTACCTCAAGAGACTGAAGTACCTTGATATTCCTTTGAAATGGAGAGGAGTGACAAGCTCTTCTCTGATACATCCTGCAACCTCCCAGGTGTCCCAGGAGGACTGCATGGATGTAACTGACAAGAGTATCTGACTCAAAATCCTACTGGGAAACAGAAGTCTAAAGGTGTCCACATTTCTGAATACTGCTCAACTGGACAAAAAGTTTTAAAAAGTCTACCAATCTAGGTAYTTTAATGATTTTTCAAATATTGCATTTTTAATAGAAATCATATGCAAGAGGGAACAAGCACATATCATAAATAGCAGTTTTCGTTTAAAATGTATGTTCTAAAAAAGGGAATAATTTAACGATATGGAAAAAAATATCAATGACCAAACTGATTAAAAAGATGGTATGACTGGTTAAACAGAAGTGATTCTGCAAATTGAGTGGATTTCAATACCATACTTCTGTTTTCACCATGGCAAATGGAAGCAACAGAAGTATTTGGTTTGAGCATATGACAAGATTTTCCACAATTTGCATGTATTTTTTTCCTTTCAGTTATAAGAATAATAAATATATATTTATACTAAACAATTATAGGCTCTTTGCCTCTCAAGGATTTGGAGAAGGTGGCTTTTGAAGCAGATTTTCTATTAAGTTAAAACAAAAGACATGTGAACAAAGCAAAAAGATCAGCCCACTTAAGTGCATGCAGAGAAACATACATTACTCAGAAGTGAAATGACACAAAAAAAAAGTCATAAAAGTAGGAACTAGATGGAAATGCTCTATAGTGAACTGAGTTTCAGTATACTTACTGGAAAAGGATTTGGGAATTATTGCATGAAAGTCCCTAAAGCCTTCCGCCCCGTATGCAGCTGCAATAAAGAAGGCAAAGAGGATGCTGGTTTGTGGTGCTGCTAGCAGTAAATGTAAAAGAAGTGACATTATTGCTATAAGATAAATACCAAGGAGAAAGACACTACTATCATCACAGAAGCAACATAAGCAGTTTAGGATGAAGGAGGAACAGCAGGATAGTTGGCAGGGGAATCCTGACCTCTCTAGAATAATTCCCATTAGTGAAAATGCCCTTTTCTTCCAAAGCAGCCAACAAGTTTTATCATGTTTTCTAGATGCATAATGCCTGTTGGGTATTCCCCTTGCTTGCACATTAATTCCTGCTGATGTCAAGAGGAACTTTTGCTAGCGTGTCTCAAAAGGGTCAATGCAGGCCCCTACAGTGCAGCTTCCTCAGAATATATTTTTTTGCCAATATACCGTCTTTCTGTGACAGAGATCCCTTCCTTACACATCTTTGTTTCTAGTCTCTGCAGTTACAAAAAGTGAAATTGCATAGTTTTCTTCTCACGCCTGCTGGTCTTATGCAATGGAAGAAGAGGGAACTCAATATTATTTATATATACATATATATATGATTGTGTATATTGGCACATTTTTTGTTTGTATTTCTAACACTTGTCCTCACAATGCATCCATTAAAAAAACAGTTCTACAAATATACTGTACCCTGCAAACTATGAGCAGCCATGTACACATTAGCATGCCATTGGGCACGCTGATACAGGTAATGCTAGARCTTACTGCTTGACATAAGCAATGATAGGGATATTGATCCACTCAGTCTTCACTTAAGCTCTCCACAGCTCTCTCCAGCTTAAGCTGGATGGCTGCAGCTGAACTGCTCAATGAATGTCCACATGCAGACCAGGCTGAGTACACAGGATGTCCATCCATTCAGCAGCGYAGCTTGTGCCAGGGGCTCAGCTCAGATGCAGAGTTTACTTTGCCAGTGACAGCTGATGGACAGTGAGGGCACTTGACTCACCCTGGATCCATACAGAAATTTTATAGGTCTAATTAAAAAACAAAATCYCTCCATGTTCAAACTTAGTACTTCTTGCAAATCTTTCTGTTATATGAGAACTAGTGAAAAGAGCCCCTCCTGATGTGGGAGATACAACTCCCCACTGATGCAGGAGAGAGAAATCACTCCAGTAGAAATACTAAGGAATTTTAAGAAATCTGAATAATAAACAGGAAGGCAGAGTATAATTTTTTTTTTTTCCCCAGGGACTTACATTGAAAATAAAAATCATCAGTGTTTTCTACTTCTTTTGTGAGAGTCATTTCTGACCCTCCCCTATTATAGCAGGGAAATCACTTATAGAGCAGCAATGATGTGAAAAATATCTRAAAACTGTATTTTTCATATACACTTATCACAAATATACTCAGCATTTGTACATGTTTCTGAAACAGTTACTTGRTACAGTCTTTGTAGATATAATTTCTGTGTATATCCATGTCTATGGACACAGACACGCAACCACTAATTAGCTCTACAATAATGCATGGTAATAATTTCTTGTTGGCTCTTCTAACACCATTAACAAATTACTCATTAATTAATTTACTTCAATTTGGTTGGAGGTGACCTTAAAAAGCTCTGGATTATATTCACTTTGTACACATTATTACAATTTAGGGGATTTTAATACAAGCTCTTTTTTCTATGGAAGGGGTGTAGAGTCCTTTGCTGAACCGACAGCATTCTCCTGCTCCTTTTTTRTCTACCCAGAGTGTGGAAAAATTACCTAAAAGCAGAGCACTGTCTGGGTCTCTTGTACTCTCTGATGTTTACTGGGAATTTCACTTGGAATTTTCTGAAGAGCATTTGAAATTGATGTGAAAAATTCTATCCAGTATTCTATTGCTGAAAATTATTAGAGCAGGTCTTAGAAAAAATAAATTGGTATGTCAAAGGGGAGAGGGATGTTGATATAATTTATCACCGAAGAGCAGCACTGCTGGCTCCACATCAGACTTGGGCCAGGGCAGACCAGAAAGCAGGATGGTGTGAGAGGAGACAGTGTCACACTTCCCTGAAAAGAGCTGARCAACATGGAGATGGAAGGGAGGCAGTTTGCAATGAGTGATAGAGCTGACAGTGAGCAGAAAGGAGAAACCAAACAGACCTCCTGGGAAACTGGACGTAGAGGGTGGCTTTCGAAGGACAGAGAAATAGGCAGCTGGAAAAAAGAGGCATGTGAAGAATTAGTAATTTGCTTTCARTCATTGCCAATTTACCTTCTCTTTTAGCTATGGGACTCCCTCCCAGATATAAAATCCTTTCAGTTTTGTGAGACTTTGGCACCAGTATAGGTCTAATTACCTGGGCCMTAATTCCATTTGGAAGGGGTCTTTTACCTCCCAAGTAATATTGTTCTGCAGTGGGACATTTAGAGGAATAAAAGGCATAAGATCTGGCTATCAAATGTATTTAGAGAGTAACAGAGAAAGAGAAACCACACTGAAACTTCTGAGRCATTTAAACAATAGAATTTCCTTACTCCCTTTGATTTTTAATGGGATTAGACCTCTTATATCCCAGTAAGTACTAAACTGTATTTTTTGGTATATACCTCCCTTTAAGAATTTATCCTTTAGACTTTATTTAAAAATAATCCTGATAATTTGATTTTGTTGATTTTGTAGCTTGCACTTTGTAGCCAATAGTAGAGGAAGATTTCTTTTCAAGTTGTGGCAAAGGGTTTGTGTGCATGTAATTTTTTGTTTGCATGGCTCAATTGTTATTCTAAGAAAAGTCAGAAGTATTTTGCTGATGTTAGTTATGTTTAAATGGTAGCTTTAAAATCCAAGAGGTCTCATGAAGGCACCACAACTATTCCACCAGCAGTCATACCTGTGTGGTATCTCTGTGTGTAAAACACTGCAAGTTAGATTTAAACAGTATGTTGTCACTGCAACGTGAGAAAAAACCTTTAACACTATCCTTTCTAACAACTGATAGAAAATGTTGCTAAAAAGGCAGAATAAGACAAAAAAAAAACCCCACATATCAGGACAAAATAAATCACCTCAGCATGCTAATAGATGTCAAATGCAGAGAGGATCTCTTCTTGTTTATATAGGTAGTCAGAAAACAGAATATTGTCAGTATTCCCACCTGTTATAAAACACATAACCCCTATACTGTTTTGTTGCACACCAAAACTAGAGCACTTGGCTATGAACTGAAATCCTTCCTCTTTTCCTTTTTACATCATGGTCATTTACTGTGGCTTCAGCTCTGTTCTTACCCCATGAGAGCACTGCAGGTGGAGAATGCCACCCCAGAAATTAAAATTGTTTGTCCACAGAATATTTAAGGAGTCATTATTCATCAGCCAGACTTGACAACAAACAACAGAGASCAATTCTTTAACTTAAATTATGTTTCCATGAATAGTATCTTCCCCTTATGAGCTTCTGAAGTGACAAGAAGAATTGTGTGGGCGTGAAAAAGGACAACAAAAGGTCTGGGCAGAGGAAACATAGTTATTTATGCAATGGCATCAGCCCATCTTCAGTGTAATCCAAATGACACAACAACAGAGATGGGACTGATCAAACTAACTGGTTAATTAGCTACAGAAAAAGAAGATGCACCCAAGTGCTCTTAAAAATTACTTCTTCACTCTCTCCTTTCTACATACAGGGCTACATTACCCAATTAATCAAGCATTTGTGGTATCTCTGTGTGTAAAACACTGAAAGTTAGAGTGCACTTTTTACGGGAAACAAAAATAACAGAAGGAAGAGTTGTAATAGGAACTACTGGGACACACCTGCAGGTAGAGAGGCTGGTGCTGACGGATAAGGAGATCCTCCCTGCAGGGTCCATGCTGCTTCCCTTGACTCCGAGTGCCAATCAGTCCTTGGCAGCCAATTTCTTCCCTGCTCTAATTCTGGCTTTCAATCAAATGTATATTATTCCAGAAACACAGGCGTCCRCAGATAAGCTATCTCCCATGGGACAACTGGTGTGAGGAGCTCCACCCATGTCATCACCCATGACTGCTACTTCTCCCTGCAGCTGTCTGGGGGAGGTTCCTGCTCCCTGTGCCAGTGCCAGCACCGACCAGCATGCACAGCCTGTCCTCAGCAGTAARGAGCAGGGAACTGTGCTTCACTGCATTGTAAAGCACATCAACATGTTTTTTCACTGGCTGCAGTGAGATCACTCAGTTTGGAGTGCAGAAAAGTGAACAATACAACCAACGAAGTGTCCTCTCTAGGTACAAACAGTGGCTTTGCTCCATTGTGCAGTCTCCCCGTAGCCTCCCATCCCAAGTTGCCTACAGGAGTCCTCTAAAGGACCAGCAAAAATTCACTGTTTAAAGACAGATTCAAGTAACRCCCTCAAATATACACTTGAAGCTATGTGCCTTTTAAATACCATTCTAAATTTGTGGTTCAGTAGGAAATGATCAGTAACCAAACAAGGGGCTGATCTAGCTCATATTTCTTGTCTTTGTTGTGACACTTCCTGGTACATTTTGTACTGGATTCAAGTTGTTTTTCCGAAGGAAAAACTACCTGTTAACTACCTGGCTGCTTGATGTTCATCATCTGAACTACAAGTAAAAGTAAGTTTTAAAGGCAAGAGAAAGTACACTGTCAGGAGATGCCACATTAAACCTGTTTCTCAAGTTCCACATGTATGTGAAATCCATGCTTCCTATATTAGAAATGCCCTGAATCTTTTACTGGCTGCTTGATGGAGAAGCTAAGGCAACAACTGCAGGTTTGCTGGTAACAGACTTTTTTGACACTTCTTTGAGAAGTAAACTTTCAAATGGTAGAGAAAGATTTGCTGATAAATGATGGTAAGAACAGCCCGTTTCATCCTCAAATTTTTTGTCTCTTCTGCTTTCACTGGATTTTTAAATATGGGCATTAAAGGATGAGGGAGTAGTAAAAGTGCATTTAGCAGGGAATTTTTAAAAAGCAAGGGGACCTTAAGTAACAATGCACAACAGTGAGGTAAAACCACTACCATATATGAAAACAT